TGCTAGGTTCTCTTTAGTAACAACACTTCCTAGTTCTTTTGAATAACTATATTTCTTCTGTAAATTTTTTCAATCCTATTGTTCATCCTCATTAAAGTGTGCATCCCTACTGATTGTCATGTTTTCTATTTGAGGATGATACACCTTGTAAGCTTTAGAAACTGAACTATAAACCACAAAGATACCTGGAATTGCTTTTGGTCAAGCTTGTCACATTTTACCTATGGCACGTGAACAAAACATACACAACCAAATACTTTAAGAAAATTTAGTGAAGGCTTATACCCATACCAAGCTTCAAACGGAGTTTTATCTTCCAAAGCTTTGGTTGGAAGTCAGTTTTGCAAAAATACCGCTGTATTGGCCGCCTTTGCCCAAAAATATTTTGGTAATTCGTTCTCATGCAACATACATCTGGCCATCTCCATTACCGATCCGTTCCTTCTTTCGCTAACTCCATTCTGTTCTGGAGTGTATGGGACAGTAAACTGATGTTCAAAGCCAGCTTCTTCGCAAAATAAATTAAACTCTACTGAAGTATATTCCTTTCCATTATCTGACCTCAACGCTTGAATCTTACAGCTACTTTGATTTTTTACCATTTTCTTGAACTTCAAAAATACATCGGCAATTTCTGATTTGAATTTCAAGAAAAAAATCCAGCACATTCTTGTGAAATCATCAATAAAAAGAATATAGTAAAGACTACCTTGTAACGATGACGTTTTTTGAGGTCCAGCAACATCCGTATGAATAAGCTGTAATTTTTTGGAAGCTTTCCAAGTTGATTTTGAAAATGACAACCTGTTTTGTTTACCAAATTGGCAGGCAGTACAATCTGGCAAATAATTGTCAAGCTCCGGTAGTTCCCTTGTCAAGATACTTTTCTACAATTTTAACATCCTTTGAAGATGACAATGGTCAAACCTCTTATGCCAAATTTCTGTGCTGCTGTCTTTGGTGAAATAAGCTATCTGCACCTCCGTAGGCTCATATGAGAAGCTTTTACCTCTCATTTTAACCCTTAAAATTTCTTTCCCAGATGCATAAAAAACAAGGCAATGGAAATCTTCGAAGGATACCTTAAATCATTTCTTTAACAACTGACCAACACCCAATAAATTTTGATCAATTTCAGATACATAAAGGACATCAGAAATTGTTTTTGTATCTGAGCTGGTTATAATTGCAACAATTCCAATCCCTTTTGCAGGTAGATAGCCTCCGTTGCCTATTTTGATCTTCTTGATTTTTGAGGGTCTTAAATCTTTGAAGAGTGTTATCAAAAGTCATGTGGTTTGTATAACCACTGTCAATCAACCAACCTTCTGAAGAACTTTTGGTTGAAAAACATGTCGCCACAAACATCCTATCTTCTTCTTCATCAGCAACTTGAGCAGCATCATCTTGGTTCTGGAATTTATTATTGCAAATCACAGCTTCATGTCCATCCTGACCACATTTGCTACATTTGGCATCTGGGCTTCTCCAACATTTGAAATGTGGATGGCCTATTTTACTGCAGTGCTGACAAGGTTGGTAGTTCTTTTTCGAATTTCTACCATTGCTGCGATTCTGGTTGTTTGCAAAACCTTCAGAAGATGTCGCTTGTGTTTTTTTGTCAGTATTCTTTTTGGTTTTTTCAGCCACCAGGTGCTTGGCTGGCAGAGCTCCTTCGACAAGACTTTCTTGCCTCATTAGCCTCATTTGATCTTGAGCTTGCAAGGCATTTAGCAGCTCTGCCAAAGTGATCTTGGACAATTCCTTTGTATTTTCCAATGTGGTAATGGTAGCTTCATATTTTTCTGGCACAGTTACAAGAATTTTTTAAATAATTCTTGAATCTAGAAATTGAGTGCCAAGCAACCTTATCTTGTTTACAATGCCCAATAATCTGTCTGAGTATTCTTTGATTGACTCAGAATCCTTCATCCTCTGCAGTTTAAATTCCCTCAATAAATTCAGCACCTGCATGCCTCAAATCCTTTCATCTCCTTCGTATTCTTCTTTGAGATAATCCCAAATCTCTTTTGCAGATTTAAGAGACATGATCCTTGTGAAGATATTTGCTAAAACAGCCGCAAAGAGAGTTGCCTTTGCCTTGGATTTCCTAGTTTTCTTTTCCTTGTGATTTTTCATTTGGGCCACGTTAGGATTGTTTGGTAGTGGAGCGACTTCGTAATCTTCTTCCACGGCCTCCCAAAGATCCAAAGCCTCAAGGTAAGCCATTATTCTCACGGCCCAGAGTTGATAATTCTCACCATCAAGCACTGGAGGAGTAATGTTGGAATAGCTGGTTTCACTCTCCATCGTAATCATAGATCCCTTAAGAAGAGAGCTCTGATACTAGTTTGTTGTTTTATTTGAAGTTGACAGAAATAGAGGAAGAAGAAGATGTAGAGTTTAAACTTTATGTTGATGAAAAACTATTTATTTGATCAGCAGTAGTACATTTAAATAGTAAAAATAGAGGATAAAAACGTGATAATAAGATAAAGCTATAAACCAGGAACCATATTATCAACATCTTAAAGACTAGGTCTTCTTTATTGACTGAGTCCAGCAAAGAAAAAAATTACGTGCAGTTCAAGAACACGTTTTAACAAAATCCTCCACCGTGGTTAATATGTAATGAGCTCCAGTAATTGAAGCAATTTTATATGGAGCCCATAAATCAATATGCAATAATTCAAAAGGCTTTGTAGTGGTTTAAAAACTAGTAGAAAAAAGTCATTCTTGTTTGTTTAGATAATAAAGGACATATAGAACAAGAATGATTGAAATCAAAATTGTCATTCATAATGCTTGGTATATGCTGCAAAACGTTGATAGATGCATGCCCAAGTCTTTGATGCCAAAGATTTAAAGAAGATTATGAAATATGGTTTACGGAATTAAACATATATAAATCAACAATATGAGTCCTTGAATAAGCTGAAATTGTATCATGACTAAAACAAGATTTTTCTAAAATATAACTTTCCCAACAACCAATACTTCTTCATTCTGCAGGTCCTGCAAAACAAAATGGATAGGATAGAATATGACTTTTAATTGGGCATCTACTGCTAGCTTGTTAATGGAAAATAAGTTGTATTGGCATTCAGGTATGTTTAAGGTATTTTGTAGCTGTAGTTTAAGCGTGAGTGATACAGTACCAGTATTTTGAACCATTTTCGCAGTTCCATCAGGCAAGTATACAGGTGTAGGTGAATGAACTTTGGTAAAATGTGAAAGTAAGTTAATATTTGAGCACATATGGCTAGAAGTAGCAGTATCCACTATCCAAGAATCTTTATCAATAAGAGACAGTGTACTATAAGCATAATGAAGCATTAAACCTGTAAAATTGTTGAAATGAGCAAAGTTAACTTGGTTGGCCTCCACCTATTTGTCCTTCATGAACTTGCTAATTTCCTTCTGAACTATACTTGCCAAAGAAGCATTATTCCAATCCACTTTCTTCTGTAAGTCTGCATCTGTTTGCAGGGGAAGTGATGCATCTGCACAGTTAGCCATTTGTTTCCCTTTCCTTTCCTTGTACTCCTTGTACCATTCTGGATAGCCATTCAATTTGAAACACTGCTCCCTGATATGTCCTTCCCTTCCACAGTGTGTGCAGTTGCCAGATAATTTAAAACAATTGTCCCTCACATGGCCATCCTTCCCACAGTGAGTCTAGTGTTTATCTGTCCTATTTGACTCCCTTTTTGAAGTATACCTATCCTTTTTAGACTGTGAAGTTCTAGCTAACATTGCTGCATTATCAGTTATATCTTTATAAAAAGTATGGACTTCATGTTGTTTTTCTACTCTCAAAACCATTGAATAAGCTTTATTTACATTAGGAAAGTGGTTCCATCATCAGTATTTGGTTCCTAATGAGATCATAAGAATAATTAAGTCCCATTAAAAACTGCATCAATCTATTAAAAGAATTCATGTCTGCTACAGACTTTGCAGCCCCACATGTACATTCAGGAAAAAAGGAACTAAGCAACTTAATTCATCCCAAAATCTCTTAAGCTTTGTATAATACTGCACCACTGTTTGATTTCCCTATTTAATAGAACTTATCTCCCTCTGCAAATGATAAATCATAGGCCCGTTGCACCCTCCAAATTGAGCCTCAATTTCTTCCCACAATTGCTTAGAAATAGTGGTATACAGAAAAAAAAAAAAAAAAAAACTCCACAATATCCTTAGAAATAGAATTTAAAATCTAAGAAGTGACCGTACAATAGACTTGAATCCACTTCTCATACTCTGGAGAAGTTTCATCAGGCATTGTTGAAGAACAATAATGTGGGGTTCTTCTTCCTGTACTCCTTCAACCAGTTTTACTCATCTGGATCAGTAAACTCATTTTCTATTAAGTCTCAGAGGTATTCAGATTTAAATAAAGTTTTTATTTTGATGATTTAAAAGTTACAACTCTCTCCTTTAAAAATAGGGATGGTTGGCTGTGCAATATTTAAAATTATGGTTATCTTTTCTTTTTAACTCTCAACTTGCTTTGATACTATTGTTGGAAAAGAAAAAAAAAAAAAAAAATATATATATATATATATAAGGCTTATATTCAAGCTTATATATAAGCTGTGATATAATCATCTATTAATTTTTCTCTTCACAAATACTCATTTATTTTATTTAATCATAATTTAATTACTGTTATTTTACTTTAAAATCTTATAATTGCTGATTTATAATTTTTACTCATAACTGATAATTTATAATTTTCATAAAAAAAATTAATTATAACATAATTTTAAATAATTTATTCAACACTATATGTAGCAAAATCTAAAAAGATAATTTATCAAATTATCTTATTTTTACATCCTGAATGAATTGTGAAAAGTTCCAGTTATGCAAGATTTTACTCGTCAATTTGAAAGCAAGTGGGGGGGAAAAGAAGGAAATGATTGATGGGGCCTCTGCATTCTAGCCGTTGTGGCCCCTTTAACGGCCAAATTCCCAATTGCTATTTTTAAGTTCAAAATTTTCCATTCATAACCTCAACACAAAGCAGAACAAAAATGGCAGCCTCAGCCTCCAATCTCAGAAGTTCTTGTTCCTTCCCTAATGTTCTTCTCTCTTGCATGAATCTCATCCTCTTCTCTCTCTCTGCACTCTCTCTTGCCCCCATCATTCTCGTCAAAATGCCCCCAACTTCACTGGGTTTGGCGTTTCTAATGGTCTCCTGCATCTCTCTTCTTTCCTCTTTCGTGGGTTTGTTTTCCCAGCTTGCCCAATTCTGCTTCATAACCCACGTTTCACTCCTCCTCGCCTCCGTAATCGGGCAGTTGCTGGCCATCTTGGCGCTGTTTACACGAGAGAAATCAAGCCTGAGCATGCTGAACTCGCCGAGAGATCCGAAAGAGGCGAAGGTGTTGGTGAGATTGGAGTGTGGGGTGTTCATGGCGATGGTGGTGATGCAACTGGTGGTGTTGGTGTTGACGTGCGTGGTGCATAATTGTTGGGTGAGAGAGTACGAGGGACTGGAGGCGGAGAAAGAGGCGTCGGCGAGGAAGAGGAGTAGGAGGATTGCGAGAGTGCAGGAGGAATCGCTGGCAAATGCAGCTAAGATTGCAGAGGTCAAAGCCAAGGAGTTAGACGAGATTGAGAAAATGAGGAGCAAGTATGTGCGGTGGGTCAAAACTGACTTTGAAGGATGACTTCTTTATATCTATATCATGTATCTATATATATATATATATATATATATATATACATACACATATGTAATCAACTTCAAAAAAAAAAAAAAAAAGTGTCATTTACCATCCGAGTGAGCTTTAATTGGATCTTTGGGGTCACTATTTTGGTGGCCACTTGATGTGTAATGTGTGTTTTAAACGGGTGAAGTGGATCGATCACCTTATGCTTCTTTAATTTTTGTGTTCCTTCTAATATCTGTAAATATGTCATTAATCGTACCAAAATATTATGTAATATTATTTTAAATTGTTGTTTGATTGAATAATCTTAGTATTTTTGTCCAATTAAATTGTCTCTATGTTAATATAGACAAAAAAATGTTCCTTTTCTGCCTACCAAATTAACAGAGAATGTTTAAATTAGTAATTTTTAATTATTAAAAAAATTTCAACTTTTAATTTAACTTATCGCAAAATAAAAAGTAAAAAATATGAGTAATTTTTAATTATTAAAAAAAATTAATTTTTATTTTTACCAAATTTATTAATTTAACTCATTGTAAAATAAAAAATAAAAAATATTTTTATTAATAATAATACACTCTCTTGAAGCTCTCTAATAAGTTTATTTTAGGAATTATTTTATAACACTTATTTTTAATATGTCAAAATAATTTTAAGCACATTGGTAAGTACTAATCAATAAGATTTTTTAGATGAAAGCAAAAACATAAATTCAAGTTATAAAAAGTACATTGGTAAAGTACTATTTTTGTTGCTGGCTCATTTTTTCTAATCTATTATTTTTGTTGTTTATTTTATTCAGTTCCTCTTAAAAAAAATGAGAGTATATTATTATTACTAATTAGGTTAAAAATAAGTAATAAAAAACTAACCAATAAGTACTAATCAATAAGATTTTTTAGATGAAAGCAAAAACATAAATTCAAGTTATAAAAAGTACATTGGTAAAGTACTATTTTTGTTGCTGGCTCATTTTTTCTAATCTATTATTTTTGTTGTTTATTTTATTCAGTTCCTCTTAAAAAAAATGAGAGTAATAACTAATTAGGTTAAAAATAAGTAATAAAAAACTAACCTGTAACAATCCAAACTCCCATTTGGAGTTCTGATCCCACTCCACTATATAAATGACAAATAATTCATGAAAATATCTCGTGTAACAAATATTCAAAGATTTGTTAACGTACGTCCTTTGCATACTTAATATTAAATATCTGATATCTACGGGTTGTGTTTAAGCCTTAAAATAAATATTTATTCTAAAAAAAATAAATACTATTAAATATTATTTAAAATAAGTAAAATGAAATGGAATGGTCTCCTAGCAAATATCTAATTATTCAAGAGTATGGTCATAAATATCATGATATGAAAAAGATTAAATGATGAATTGAGTGAGCTATACTAACTCAGTAATGATACAAAAATTTGAGCTACACTAGCTCAGTAATAATATAAAAATTAGACAACGTAATAACTTATCGAAGTGTTATAGAAAACAGTAAAACAGTCGATGAGATATTTATTTTAATGAAATCAATTTCTTTGTTTGACTTAGAAAACTATTTAATTGTTTCACTTCACAACAAATCAAATCAAATTCACGTTTAGCTAACTTCATTTCCTTCACAAGTGTCATTCGATTATTTCACATTCATCTTTAGATAAGTTCATTCTTTTTCACGAATATTATCAGATTATATCACGTTCATACATAATTAATTTACAGTACACATATCAAATCAATCACATTCCTATTTCATTTAGGAGTTAAAAATTCTATTTATTTTTATATTTCATTGCGTGATGCTCTTTTTTTTACCAATATTGTTAATGATCAATAAGGATCCCTTCTACGTATGGATACTCGAAATATTTTCGTAACAAACAATCTAACGTCCTTAACCCTTAAGCCAGGTGAACGTCATAAATATCAATTGTCCTCACCCCTCAACCTAATTAAGCACCTTAAATATCGATTATCCCCATACCTCAACCTATATCGGTGTCATAATCATCGGTCATCCTCACCCCTTAACCTAGGTGAGCTATAAATATTTGTCGTATTCATAGTAGGGTTCACCACACATAATCATCACATTTGACTACCAACCCACATGCGTGTGCATCGCCATGTACATTTATTTAAACATTCTATTTGTATACGAACTTCACGTACACTTCATACATGTATACATATGACTCAAAACATATATACATGCACACACACACCATAACATAACATTATTTCCCCAGCACATATACATGTTTATTAAAATACAGATCTAATGGCGAATAACATAAATAAAATCAATAAACATCCTCAACTAGCAATAGTACATAGATCTTATAACAAATGGAACTAAATAAAAAAAGATGCACATGAGATCAAAAGGCACATAGATTGCACCAAATCAATTTTATTATTCTCCATCGGCACCTGCATGAAATATATATTTTTATTATGTAAAATAGAAAACCAATTAGACATCTTAAACTTAGGACTTAGGTAAACTGTCATAGATGATGGTTAGAATATCCTTACTTCAAATCAGAGGAAGATGATGTTGTCTCTCATAGCCACCGGTTACGACTGGCCTTCTCACTCTCGAGTTTCACCCATTTTTTTTGCTAAAATGGAATCATTGTCACACTGGTAGGGAAACGAAAGGGAAGTAATAGAGGGAGGAAGGGGAAACATACTTACTCGAATTGGACTCGGCTCCCGATTGCAGACACACGCCCCTTCTCTCTCAGCTTGCGATTTTTTTGGATTCACTATTAAATAACAATTAAAAATAATTGTAAAAAAGGAAGAGTAGAGAAAAAAAGGAGAAAATGGCATTTATCGTAGTCGATTTAGGTCTCTGGTACAATGCTACCACTGTTGCTCCGTCATTTACTACTCTCCTTCAGTCTCCGCTCTCCCTTCTCCGACGTCCCTTGATTGGCTAGGGTTTTGGGGAGTCATTTGAAAGGACCTTAAATACTCCTGCCCAAAAATCTCCATCGTCCGATCGAGTTGACATAGCACGAGAAGGGTAATCTGATCGGGGGTTATCAAGGGCAATTCTAGAATTTTGCCTCGCTAGAAATTCCTAACCGTGAGATCACTCCTCTTAGCAGATTTAGGCCATCCATCACACAGACTGTTGGAATTATTCGTGATGGAATCAAAGCCGTTCTGATTGCCAACGTGGTGGCCACGCGTGGAGCATCCGTTGATGTGGCTATCACGCGGCGTGATCTGATTGTCGTATCGTTGAGTCAGCTATCCAACATGGCTTGCTTTTCCCAAAATTGTAGAATGAACCATCATCACCTAGAATCCTTTCAAATCAGTCCTTTTTAATTATAAACTGGAATTGACTTCGACGTTTTATTTCAAAAAGTCCTAAATTAATTATTTTAATTATTTTTCACATTTTTGGTAAATTCAAATTTTAATTTTAACTAATCTATTTATTTTAAAATGCATTTAAATTAGATATATTCTTCATTAAATGGTGAAATTAAATCATTTTTAAATCCTAGATATTAAAATTCTTTCCCCCTTAAAAGAAAATTTGGTCCTCTAAATTGCTATAACACATCGAATGAGTGGGGATATTTAGGTTGAAAGTCTAATTCCAATTCTCATGTAGCTTCGTCCTGAAAGTGATTCTGTCATAGGACTTTGACAAAGGGGATTGTTTTATCATAAATTACATTCTTCTTTTGGTCCAAGATTCAGATAGATATCTCTTCGTAAGATAAATTCTCCTATATTGGAGAGACTCAGGAGATAAAATGTGCGAGGGATCATGGTTGTACTTCTATAACATTGACATATGAAAGATATTGTAAACCTTAAACATTTATGGTGACAATATTAATTTGTAAGGAGACGACTCAATTCTCTCTAGAATCTTAAAAGGTCCAATGGAACGAGGGTTTAATTATCCCTTATTTCTAAACCTAGTGAGGCTATTGAGTGGTGTAATTTTAAGAAAGAAAAGGTCACCTACCTCAAACTCGAAGTCTCTTCTTCTAGTATCCATATAACTCTTTTGTCTACTTTAGGTCTCCTGAATGTTTTTTTTTTTATCTCGAAAATCTTCACTATAGTCTCATCTACAAGATTTGAACTGATTAATTTTCTATCTAACCTATCTCTTCTTAACAGATAGGTGATCTATAAGGTCGACTATATATTGCTTTATAAGGGGTCATGTCAATACTTGTTTGATAGTTGTTATTGTGGGCATACTCTTTCAATGATATATGGTCATTTCACTCGAAATCCAAGACACAACCCTAAGCATTTCTTTTAATGTATGAATTTGTTCCTTTTTTTATTATCTGTTTGAAGATAAAATGTTATACTGAAAGATAACTTAGTTCCCATGACTTATTGAAAACTTTCCTAAAATCTAAAGATAAATCTTGGATCTCTACCTGATACTACCGACACTAAAAAATGTGAGTCACTCTCTTTTAGATAATAAAATTTATCATTTTAAAAATAAATCGGTATTGTGAAAATAATGCAAGAAAGAATTTCCTGAAAACTATTTTATCTTACTAACTTATGCCAAGAGTTATAAGAATAAAAAATGTCACGATGAACATATGGAAAAATCACATCACTTTTAATAATAAAAATTTCTCATTTATTTTGAGAGAATTCAAATAAAATTAATTAACATCCATTTGATGAAGCTAAAATTGATGTATTATATAATATAAAAAAAATGTTGACAGATAAGAGTAATAATCAACTAATGAGAGACAACAAATAGATGAGAGTAAAGGTTGAAAAATAAGAACCTAGTT